CCCCCCGCCCATCGACTGGGTTTACATCAGCAAGGAGGCAGGCTGGCTCGATCCTGGTTGTAACGGCAAACCCGGGGTGACTGGGATTTAATTTCCCAGTAGAAAAGAGGAGATACTCGTTTTTTGTTTAAAGGGACTCCACCTTGGGATCCGGACTAACGTCTACCTCTTCTGGGATCAAAAGTGAAGAGCCAAACCATTACACAGTAGTCTAAGAGAATATGAGAATCGAGAGCTAAACAACAACATAAATAGATACAGTAGTGACGTTGTCGATAGAGATAAATAAAGCTTAATAAGGTTTGCATATCGCTACCTTAGAATTACAAAGTTCTGTCTTTTTTGGCCGTTTTTAGTTACTGAGACTAAGAGGTCAAAAACCAATATGTCCTATCTGCCCTATCAAAATTGTACGATTTTTTTTTGGAGTTGGTACCAAGATATTCAAAGAACTTCAATGGAAAAAGCTTGACATGTTGGGAAAAAAAACATTGTTAATATCAAAGTTTCCAAAACTAGGTACTGAGCAGATAGAACTTTGTAAGATAAATTCTAGGGTAACAATTATTTGCAAACCTCAACCGACGTACCTGCACACTGTGAAGGAAATGGTCCTTAAGTCGAAGCTACTGATAGCCCGAACGTAGTACCTCAGGAGCACGGTCCACAGGATGACCAGGTCCATGACGCTGAGAAAACGCAGCATCAACGACATGTGGTTTCTGGCGAATGCCTTCTGCGACAAGACCGCGTAGGTGATCACGTTTCCGATGGTCCCGACAAGGAGGATGACAGAAGCTACGGCGATGGTTACGATGAAGTTTATACGCCACAGATAGCGAACCTCCGGGAATTTGGACTGGACATCGGCTAGCCGGTCGTAGTAGAAGGTTGAGTTGGCGGTGACGTTAGAAAGCTCCATTGCAGGTAGAAGGGGATGAGTTTTCTGTTGCAAGAGGGGAATAAAGCTATAGATGAACTGTGCGGATTTGTTTGCTGTTGTTTGTTTGTTTTTGTCCGTTTGTGAGTTGAGGTGTTTTTTGTTGGGGGGGGGGGGTCCTACTTCTTTACTGTCCCACTGTTGTCTCTGTCTTGTTTGTGTGGGTGGCTGTATTTTTTGCTGCGTTTATGCTGCTTTCATTTTTGGTTGTTTCTTTTTTGCTGTGTTTTTTAAAAATTGCTTGTTCAGTAAACCTCTTATAGGTAGATGAAAGAAACATAAAAAAATGTGAACTACTAGCTAACAATGTCACTAGCATAAGGAGAAACATTTTACACATATCAGATAAAACGGATCTTGAGCTGGTCACAAGTTAAGGGCCGTGAAGATAAAACAAAATGTGACCAGAAACATTCGGCACCCGGAGCACGAAATAACGATAACTTAACTAAAAAAACCCACCATAGACGTTAGATATCTTGGGGCAGTCAAATCTAATAATTGATCACGTGCTTAAGACATATATAACCAAGACAATAATTTGCTAAAACCTAAATTTTAATAATCTTCCAACAAGTGAAGAGATCGTAACATTCCTCTCCATTTGAAAATGGCAAACATGAAGCAGATTGTTAATAAAATGTAACCCAGCTCCCTTAATGACCATTGTGTGGTCACAGAGAACTGAAATTTAAAAATCAATTAATCAATCAATCAACCAATTAATCAATCAATCAATCCGTCCATCCATCCATCCATCCATCCATCCATCCATCCATCCATCCATCCATCCATCCATCCATCCATCCATCCATCAATCCATCCATCCATCCATCCATCAATCAATCAATCAATCAATAAATAAATCAATCAATGAATCAATCAATCAATCAAGAAATAAAACGAAAAAAACCCCCAATGAACAATGAATGAATAAGTAAAAAACAAAAAAATAAAACACAAAATAAAACATTAAAACAATAAATAAATGAATAAATGAATAAATAAATGAATAAATAAATTAATAATAATAATAATAATAATAATAATAATAATAATAATAATAATAATAATAATAATAATAAATAACATTTATACTGCGCATTTCCATTTCCTAAAAGATGCTCAATGCGCATTACAACGAAAAAGACATCACATCTTAAAAATTAATCGACAAGTGTGTACGTAAAACAAAGTATTATACATATAATATAAATGCATATGTGTAAAATTTTATATAAGAAAAACAGTCTCGCAGTGAGGTTGAAAATGTGTTCACCCAAAATATACAATGCAATAAAAATTCACGAACGGTCACAAATAAATAAATAAAAATCTGGTACGACTAAGTTTTCAGGAAGCAAAGCATTTAGTCCTGTATTTGGTATAAAGAAGAAGGGATCTGAGGGAAAAGACAATGCTGTCCAGTTGTTGAACATAATATACCGAGTTTATGTAGTTGCGACTAGATCTAGATCTAGTTCTTCAACATTATTCAATGATAATGGAATAAAGCATGTTTAACATGCTGGGAACACCGATAAGTAAATAAATATAAATATAAATACGATTTATTCATTGTCATAATTAAGGCTTAAAGCTACACCATGGTTGGCTGGTGGGTGTTCTAGTGGGTTTTGCTTCTTCTGTCCTATCTAACATCTATTGTCCTTATCTCCCCTTCTTCTTATTTGTGTTTACTGTTTGTTACTCGCCTGTAATACCTCGAATCCTCGGCACTTATATAAATTTATGACTTTTTAGTGTTGAAAATGCGTTAACGTTAACTATTTTTTTAAAAAGATACACACAGCTTTTAATCATTTTTCTTTTGAAAAAAAGTCAACAGTTTCATGGTAACAGAAACAAAAATAGAATTAAGACAAAACGATGAGAAATTGAGTTCTTCTGAGATTCGAATCTCGAACGCCAGCATGCAAATTTGTTAATCTCATAACTAGATCTAGATCTAGATGTAGCTGTTCTGTGTAACGCACCATATTATCCTGGTGTGTTCTGCCTTTGTAATGTAATCGGAGTGCATCGTACAAGAGGACTTCCTACCTTTGTGTTTCATGTACATAAAACTATTTTAAGCTTTCAGACTGGTACGAACACTTTGTGCTGACAACATTTACTAGATCTAGTCATTAATCCCTTACGCTGCGAGTAATCAAGCATTAAGAAAAGAATTTCGGCAATAATTTTGTTGACCTACAAATGAGTCTGTGCGCCATTGCTTTGTGCACATGTAGTGAGCTTTTGGTGTACTTTACGTCATCAGCTATTTTATCAAATATGCACTCAAGTTTGGAGACACGGAACAAACATGTATAATGCCCCTCTTTTGCTTGGAAGAACAATGCAGCTATACCGGACCTGTTGTAAGAAATAAATAGCAGTAATTGGAGATATCGAAATTTAGTCTCAATGGAGTGAGTGTGTGTTGCTCTTAGAGTATGTATCTATATAATATAACTCCAAAGGTCTAGTATTTAAATTCCTGCATTTGGTTGAATGGTGCATTTGATATAAATGTACATTTTGTCAGCTTTACTTCTCTTTATATATTGAATTTCAATGAGAGTAATACATATAATATAACATTTTTATGTATGCCTGCATGTGTTTTTACGGTCCTGTACAACCGAGGAAGATTTCCCTTTGGGATAATAAAGCACTTTCTTGTCTTATCTTATCTTATCTGTAAAAACGAGAAGAACCCATTAAGAATGCCATTTTACATGTATTTATTATTTTGCTGTCGTATCATAATCTCAACGTGTGGTGAGAGGCTGAAGCCTTTCTGCATACAATTGAGCATTCCAGTAACAAAGATAAAAAGAGAGGAACGAAAAACTTATAAAAAGTTATCATGAAAAAAATCAAACATAGAAAGGACAATTAATATTGGCATGTATTTTGCCCAATGAAGCCAGACGGTAGGACTTGCTCTAAAGATCCAAAGTAGTTGAAAAGTAAGAGAAAAACACAATCCCCCCCCCCCCCCCCCCTCCCCAAAAAATAAATAAATAAAAATTAAGAAATAGGCTTTTTACTATAACTAAAACCGGTAAATAAAAATCCACAGCATGCTTGTATCTAGACTCTGAATGCAAATGTCCAGAAGTATTGTTCTTAAAATTCATTTAGAAGGAAGAGGACGGCGAGAACGGATTCAGCTTGGAGGAGGAGTACGACGACGATAAACAGGCTCCAGGATCCAGACTCAAAAGCACAATAACTCACATGACGTGACTTGTTCAATTCAGTCTAACATTTCCGCCCAATATAAAAAAACCCAAAGTCCTTTCAGAGAATGTCACGTTTGTAAACAATGGGGATTTAGTCTTAATCGTTGTTTTTGGTCTTGTTATACCAGGGGAGGTTTCAATTTCCCACAAATACCTCCCACAGGGAGATGAGAAGTCGTTCTGTGTCGGATGCGACACAGATTTTACCATTATACACATCTTAACCGAATGTCTGGACTTTGGAGAGATCCGAAGGAAATATTATAAATGCAAGAAATTGCAAGACATTTTTCCCCGTCGTTGGTCCCGACAGAATTTTGAAATTTATGAAGGCCATTGGCCTTTATGGCAAATTATAAAGTGAAATCTAACTATTAATTTTTTATGTTATCTAGGAAAATTGTTTTAGATTGAAAATATACATATATTTACACTGATTTTTAAACATTTTAAAATCTAACTACTGATCCGAGCCAGCCGTACCGTAAACTGTTGTGAACAAAACTAACTTGTGTTTCGCGTGCTCATATGGGCGTATGCAGTTGCGAGCGCCATAAAACCCTATACTACTACTATAGCCGCTCGTCATACTGGGAAAATATGTGTTTCTTGACAAGAGACGCTCTCGTGAGCTAGACGGTGGTTCGTGCAATTTTGCACTACGCAGTGCGCGTAATGAACGCACAATTCCTACTTTTCATTATCCAATATGTCGGAAGTGAAATTGCCATTTCTTTTATTTATTTTGGCAAATTATTTAATCATTGTAACAGGTAAGGTCAGCCGCATGCTGGAATATCTTCAAGAAAATTGATGAAATCATCCATTAATGTGACAGCGAAAGCGAAACACTAAACAGTGGATCTAGATCTAGATCTAGATCTAGGTCTTTGTGAGGACTGCGTAGAGATGCACAGATACTGTGAGTGTTCAGTATGATCTGAATCGCGAAAAGTGAAATACAGAAAGTAAGAAAAGACTTGAGAAAATCTAGATCTAGACAAATTACAAGGATCTAGATCTAGAATCTAGATCTAGATCTATTTAGATACTCTAGGTCTAGATCTTATAATCTAAAATGTAGATTATAAACAGAATCTATATGTTAAATTTTAGTTTCAGTATATACTGAACACCCTAGATATGAGCTGAATGATTAGAATAGAAGAGGGTTTTTTTGTATAGTTTTTCTGGGTTGAACTCAGTCAAATTGACAGTTTTCAAATAGAATATAAATGAAACAGCTTTGCTTCTTTGAAGTGGCATTGTTTATCTACATTTACATTTTTAAGATAGGGAACTAATTAATGTCCTTGCTAATCTAGTTTTGCTCAATTTTTTGAATTTTCTCTCACTCAGTTAACAGGTCCGAAATTCCATAGAATTTTAAGTCCGTAAAACGAGACAGTTGATGACCAGTGGCCACATACACAAGTCATTTACGTCACCTGACTTAATAAACATATTGCAGTTTGATGTAGGAGAAATGCATATTTAATAACATTCATGAATTGAGTGCGAAAGATACACAATACAGATTGGCCATAGTTGGGTAAAAAGAATCACCAGAGAGTCAGAAACAATAAAAGAAAACTGTTGTGACACTGGTTACCAGGCATATAGATAGATAGATAGATGGATGGATGGATAGATAGATAGAAGGATAGACAGACAGACAGACAGACAGACAGACAGACAGACAGACAGACAGGCACAGACAGACAGACAGACAGACAGATAGATAGATAGATAGATAGATAGATAGATAGATAGATAGATAGATAGATAGATTCGGTACTTTCTAAAGACGTATAGACACAAGCGATACCTGAGCGGGAAGTTGGGGTGGAAATTGTGTTAACGCAGTACATAACGAAAGTTTCAAGATTAACACATCTTTACTGATTAAAAAAAATCTTGGAATATGCTCTTTAAGCTGCCTCTATACATAACAGATCCCAACGCTGTAATATGACTCTGGAGATAGAAATGGCAAATTGCAATGAACTGTGCGGGTAAAAGCGTAATCAAGGTGTTGGATAAAAGGCGCCGAGGATAATGACATTATCTGGTTATGAAAAAATGCATCACTTGAACTTGGACATCTTTTTTCTCTTGCTATGAAACACTTTTATGTGTCTTAATTATTTTCATGAATATATTTGATTCTGACAAAATCATCCAAGTAGAAATTGTCAACTGATCTGAAGGAATAATCTCTCATGACCCAAAACAGCACACTGAGCCTTAAAGACAGAACAAACAACTACTAAGTAACAGAACTCGAACTCCGAATTCATTAATATAAAACAACCCAGACACGTTTACTAACATGATCCCTGCGGTTGCTTTATAATGCTTTACGGGGGGACCTGAACCAATAACACACGAAGACCAACCTTTGCCAAGGAGCTAGGTGCAATAAAATCCAGACCATCTTCACCAGAGCACCCGCAAATAATCCATATGGCACGATTTGATAGAAAGCCTCTTTAAAGTGTCCGATGTTTTAAATAGCATTTGTCCGACCAGGGTATGTGATGCAGCTGTTTACCTCCTCACCTTTGCACACACAAAAAAGCAACAACAACAAAAAAGAACGTGGGCTTGATTCTCCAACAGAGAAGATTATTTTATCATCAAGTATATCCATCTATTTGCCAGGGTGTTATATCCTTCTCAGCTTGGGTGGGCCATGGCACGCGGTTTCGAGAACAATTCTCCTCCCTAACTATATAAAAAGCGCCGACGAGGATGTAAAACACTTACCGTAGACTATTGTGTAAGTTGGAACATTCATTTGTTTTGTTGAAACTGTATTGTTTTGAAAATTGTATTTCCACCAGCACCAAGTACGAGCTGCCCAGAGGGTCACTTCGGCCTGGGTTGTCGCGAGGTCTGTGGCCATTGTCTGGGTGGACACTCCTTTTGTGACAGGGCAGATGGCCACTGCGTTGGCGGCTGTGACAAGGGCTACGTTGGGAGGCTCTGTACAGACAGTGAGCGCTCGTCTTGTTTTCTATCATTTTTGGTGTTAGTTTTAAGTTTGGTCTTGATTGAATCTGAATTTGATTCGATAAGAAATTATCATGTTGTCTGAGCTCATTGTTTGTCTCGTCCCTCTTTCTTACGCACTCTTCTTTCACGTCATCATTCTCCTTCCCCTCTCCCGGTCCTCACCCGGTCCTCCCCCGATCCTTCCCCGCATTGCTATTGATACTTCTCCTCCTATTACTCCCCCTTTTCCTTTTCATATCCCTCCTTCTGCTCCTCCTCTTCCTCCTCCTCATCCTCCTCCTCATCCTCCTCCTCCTCATCATCATCATTGCGAATCAAACTTAAAAAAAAAAAACCTTAGCAAGACCAATGCCTCACCGTGCTTCTTGACATAACCAGTGTCATATTTCCTGTCATAAGTGTATAATAATACGCCATTGTCTCTTGAAAGGGAAAGAACAAGTGAACAATCTCCCAACCCCGCCATAAAAATTAAATTACGTGTAAATAAATACTTTTTAAAAATAGCAACGCTTGAATCTGAGTTAAGAGAAGCACTTCTCTTGTTGACAAGCTTCTCCTTACTTCCATTTAAACTCAAAGATGGATTAGAGTGTGGCAGAGTGGCATGTAACAATGGAATTAAAAGCTACCTCTGAAATATATTTTGCGATGCAACACTCCCGCAAAGTTGTCATCAGCGCCTTATGCAACAATGGATATGAAGAAGAAAATCTCCGCAAGCTGTCTACAAGCTCTCATAAACGACGGGCAGAGGAATAAAAGTGGCAAAGCATTGTATCCATCACAGAGGCTTGCCCTTTCTCCTGTCAAAGCCTCGCGCCTCTTCATCCTGTCAACAGCAAACCTTGACATAATTCTGCAGCTTCTTGTGTGTGAGTGTGTGTCTTTGTGCGTGTGTGTGTGTGTGTGTGTGTGTGTGTGTGTGTGTGTGTGTGTGTGTGTGTGTGTGTGTTTGTGTGC